ATCAGCATTGTTCTTGTTTTTTTTTTTTTGTTTGGTTTTGGGCTTTTCTTCCAACTCGGCAACTGCGGCACTTGACGCCACGAGAACATAAAAATGCTTTTCAGCACTCGAAATGATGATGACTGCGACTCGGCGGTGAACCGACGGACACCGCCCCCCGCCTTGTTCGGCTAAACTACTCCAGTCAAAATAGCATTTTAATAGACGCAACAGCAACAGCAACATCAACAGCAACTGCAACTGCAACAATAACAGCTCGACACGACGACCCAAAGCAAAAGCCAAAGTTGCAGCCAAGTCAGTGAACATGTGAAAATACTTTGGCTCCGGTCGGAGATGGAGTTGGAGCGACGAAGGAATTGCCAGCACACGCTTTTCTAATTTAAGAACCTTTCGCTGCATGTCCAGAAATTTGACATCAACTTGCCGTTGCCGTTGCCGCTGCTTTGGCCAAATGTTATCTAAGCCGCAAAACGGAATCCAGTTAGCTGCGTCGTCAGTCGGAAGAGCAAACAAAGGCGGTCCAAAACGGGGGGGAGATCTACTTGAGCACTTGACTTGCCCCATTTGCTGGCGGGGTGGGTGTTGCTGCTGCTGCTGTTGCTGCTGCTGCTGCTGCTGCTCTTGATGTTGCTGGTGTAATGAGCAACCACTGCAACTGCTGGCAAGTCAAGTGCCCATCATGACAGCTGCGAAAACGCGGCTAGACGAAGATGATTTATAATTGTCATAGACTTCCTGGTTTTGTTGTTTGAACGGGGAAAGGGATGAGTGAGAAGCCGAGCACTGCCAACCAGACAGACCAGACAGCACGATCATATTCATATCCATGGCAGATACATTTCAGCACCTGCTCCAACTGATTTTCCTCAACATCACAGAGGAGCCTTTGGCTAGTGAAGGAGAGAGAATTTGCACCTTAAGTCTGATGGGATGAGCTGGTTTCATCCAGCAATAGGTATTATCTAAGCTACATTATTCATGATATTGTTTGAATACGCTTGCGTCTATTGTTAGCTAAATGATGCTCATAAAAACAGTTTATAAAATCCATTATGTGCAATTAAGTAGATAATGCGCGTAGCTTACTTACTTACCTTTCAATAAAAGCTCTAGTCATTTTTGTGTGACCTGGACTGGGTGAGTGTTAATGTAAATGACTCACAGTGCGACAGTATACTCTAATTATTTCCTAATGATATATATTATAAACCGTACACGAATTGGCATCACACCAGAGGTGCAATCAAACCCATTTGTAGCTTGTTCCCGGATCCATGTGAATCCGGACCCAAATAAGCACACAGAAAGCTCAGTGGCTCCTATACGGCTTCCTTTGCCTGGGAGCCGCAGTTCCGCGTCCAACAATAGCCACAACAAATGGCCAAGAGAGGCGGCAGCCGGAGCAGCGGACTTATGCAACTCAAGTCGGCCAGGCAATGGCGGGCAATTAATTTAATTGCAAACGGCATGAGAGCTCGCCACGCCCTGAATTTATTTTAATTAGCCCGATATTCGCTTCATTATATTTACATACATCAACTGCAGCGCCGGCGAGTCAGCGGAGCGAAGCGCTGCCCAGAAATAGTTCGGTCTAATAAGTGGCATTTATAATTTTATTGACTGCCAGGCCAACCCAGCGAAGAATATAAATAAGAAAAAATATTAACCGAGACAACGGCGACAGCTCAGCGGTGGAAAAGATAGTGGGGCGATCCGATCGATGGATGACGGCAAGTTCTGAGATTCGGTTTTGAAATCCACTGCAGCAGAAGAGCCGCAGGCTGTGAAAAATTTGGACATATGCAAGTCTCGCTGGGGTCGATACTAAATTTTTCGACATTAGTTGCCAATTTTTGGTTGTTTTTTCAGTTTGTGCCCAAGAGCTGTCACGCCGACAGAACGACAAGAGGAAAATGCGGAATTGTGAGAAATGTTGTTTGTAATAGAGGATTTTAAATGCACTTACTTTTAAGTATCGCAAAAATGAATCGGGGACTTTAATACAATATAATACTGATTAGATTTTTACTTGAAACAAATTATATATTCTACATTCAATAGTTATAAGGAGATTGTTGTGACACATTTCCTTGGAATTTAGATCAGACTCAACATGAGTTCAATTGACCTCTGGTATAGGGTATACACACTCGAGAGCCCCAACACATTTTGCCACATTTTTGACTTCTCGTCTGAGGGCGCTGTTTGTTCCGCTGGCCAAGCAATGTTTGCTAAACAGGCACACTTCGAGCCGGATCGGATCTGGGGTGGCCTGGCCGGATCGGATCGGTTCGGATCGGACTATGTTGGATTGGCCCCAGACCCTGACATATTCCTCGTTGACGGCGCACGACTTGGACTCCTAGGACGACGGACTACTCCCCGGAGCTGATCCGAGGCGGATCGAGGGCATCATTATGATGTGGCTGTGACGACGGGTGACGGGCCAACTTTCGGGAGGGGCTGATGCTTGCCACCAGCATTTGCAACATTTTCATTTTCATTGGCTGTCATGTGGCACATTTATCGGAAAGTGCCCACTGACATTTGGCCAGCCACTTGAACTGGGTTAGCCGGAGTTGCAGCTCCATGCTCATTAAGTGTATTTGTTGCAAAAAAAAGAAATAGGGAAAAAATAGTTGCTCGCCCCCAGGGGCATCTTTTGGAGTTCGTAATTCGGATTTCTCAATACGCAATTCCGTGGGAGATTTCCCCCCGATTGAATTGGGAAACGGATCGGAATCGGATCAATCAGAATTGGAAATTACAGGGCGATCGAGTCACAGGGCGGTCCGGCCCTAATGAGTGCCGGCTGCTAATTATGTTTTTAATGAGCTGGCAAATCAATTAGCGCCCGCAGCCAACAGCTAACAAATGGGCCAACAAATGAGCCCGGCCCAGACCAAATCGCTTTGGTTTTGACAATTGCAGCCGAACTACGCCCAAACGCGGACCCCAATCTCTGATGTAATCTGGCCAATTGGCGTCGTTGGCCTGAAATATGTTTTATCGCATTTATTATCAGCTGCACCAAATCGTCTATAATTGAAAAACTGTTAACTAGATTAGCTGCCATTAGACCGGGCGTTGGGGGCCAGCTAGGCCAGAGCAGGCCAGGCTGCGTCGCTCCGGATCCAGATTCATATCCAGTTTGTGGCCATTTAGACGGTTCGCGGTGGGAGATAAGTCCCGCCAGTCCGCCGACCAGGCCGTAATCGACTTGGCCAAAATGGCGCTGACCAGGTTCATAAATAAGCAGCGGCTGCCCCAAAGGGACATGCCATCCATTCTCTGTTTTCGAATTTTGTTTATTTATTTAAGTGCCTCCAAATCAGCCTTTGCTGGCTGCTCTTTGAAATCTAATTAAGTTGTTTAAGTGGAATTTGTGGCCATAAAATTATGCAAATCTCTGTGCGCCACCGCACTTCACCCCACTGCCACTCGATAGACACTTGGCGGATGCATATTTGCATTGGTAATTTGCACGCCAAAAGCCCACCAGGCCTCGGGTGGCCGCAACTTTGGGCTCGTAAATCATAAGTGGGTGAGTTACGGTCCGTGGCTTTTGTTTAGCCAAGCACCATTCAAAATTGAGAACTATTGCGTATAAGGATTTTGATATTTGTTAAATATACCTTGAGGCATGCACATATTCCTAGAGAATCTAGGAGTTTAAAAAACTGTAATCCTTGTTCAGTTGGATGTGAGATTTTCTAAATTAAGATTCGGTCTAGCATTGGTTTCCGTTGGAATCTATCCTAAACGCAGTCATATAAAGTATATACTATATATCTTCATTTCTGTCAGAGATGAAAGAGTGAGAAAGCTTGGCTTTAGACAAACTCTCAGGCTCGAGGAAAGCCCTGAAATGTGGTCATCAAATTCGTTTTTTTATTTGCCACTCCACATGGCTGCTTGGACATCGTTTGGTGCCCACACAGGCACATAAAGATGTCAACGCTTAACTTATCAAGCGCACAAACACGAGGCCCAAAACGCCAACGGCTTGGATGAGTGCGACATCGTTGTTAATACAATAAAACCACTGTAATTTCTGCTTTGGTCTGGGGTTTATTTGCGTGTCTCGCTGCTGCTGCTGCCGGTCACAGAATACAAGTAGCGCCCACCGTTGACCGTTTATCAAACAACAATAAACTGTAATTTATGAAAAATGCCTGTAAAATGACGATAAAACAAGTGCCACGACCACGACGACACCGCCGAAATGAAAATGATAATGATGATGATGATGACATGGACATGGCTGCCAGTCTTGTGCGGAGCCAGCCAGTGCCGGTGTTCCGTGCATCTGAGCATCTGCAGTGGGTGTGCTCTGTGCGCTTTGCTGCATAGTGGCCAAGAGACACAACAATTCATTTGACCGGCATGCCAGTCGGAGGTCGGATGGGGGTGAGGGTGAGGTTCGCGGGTTCCCGAGTTCGCCGATCCCCAGCTGCATCTTCACATTTGGCCCGGGCACCTGACCATTGTCAACACTTTGGTTGGTTGTTTGGATCGCCAGCAATTGCATTTGCATCCAGCAGGCTTTGGTACATTGGGGTATATTGGGTGACAGGATTGTATTGATCTTATAATTTTGTGTCTGTTACCTAATTATTATTAAACGAACTGTAAAACAGCAATTCGGTGAAATTATCTTAGATTATATATAACTAAATGTATGCTTTACATAGTAGAGGATATCAGGTGGTCGAGAACAAACTTCTTCAGTTTTCTCATTTGTTGATTTGGGTCACTCTGGCGACAGGTCAGACATGCCACTACTTTGTGCAACGCAACTTTTCCTTTCGAGCGTTGGCGCGAGCTCCTTAGCATTCGCTTTGGGGCATTGTGTTCCTCGCTTGCATTTAAAATGAGGGCTCCAAAGGGTTCTGCAAGTCAGCCCTTAAAGGCGCTGACACCACCAAATCGCAGGAAACAAAGGGAACCAGGTCTTAAAAGCCGAGCCCAATCCTTCGACAGTCTACTATTCAAGCATGTGGCAGCAAGTGAAGTTGGCTGAGACCGCGAATTGGTCAGGAGCTGAAGTTTTCCAGCGTTTTTTGGCGCACCTGAAGTTTGAGATCCGGTTCCGGACATTGCTTTACTACCGCTTGAACTCCTGCGAATGCTGGTTCGATGGACTTCTAGGAAGTGATAATTATACCGCTTTGTTATGGAACGATGAGGAATACCCACACTACCTAAGGCCCCGACAGGACTTGGATATTGTAGGAGTGGTTTGCCTAAGGCTATCACAGTACAAGGAAGTTTTAAGAGCATTCAGTATAATGCTTGATCAAATACGCAGTATGCCGGTGGTGTTGCAGCTCTGTGAAGAAGACGACCCAAGTCAGGATCAGAACTCAACTGAGTTAATATTCCGTTTAAGTGTGGAGCTACAAATATTAAATGTATTGCTGCTTTCCTGGAACTTTTTGAGGTCGAGGACATTCTACGCCTACGAATTATTTCCAAAATTTCAAATTACAAAACGCATCTATGACACGCACCTCACTTTATTTCCCTATAAGCTGGGAAACCTTCAAGGACATCCCATACAAACCATGCCAGACAACTCCGAGCCGCATACCATAGTGGAAAGGAGCTTAAATGGGACATATATCATCTCCGGACCGGTATGGCAGTTTATGACGGAATTTGCGCGACATGTAAATGGCAGCCTGCAGTTATACGGTGAGCCTGTTATAGGACAGACTCTGAGATATGCCCAGGTCCTGGACTTGGTGCGAAACGGTACTATCGATATTGCTGCCAGCCTGAGACCCCACGTTCGCGTCCAGCGCGATAATATTCACGTATTTAGCTATCCCTTGTATGTGGGAGATTGGTGCACGATGCTGCCCGTGGAAAGGGTGTTGAGCACCCACGAAGCCCTCACCCGACTGATGCAATCACCCTTCACGTGGCTGTACATGCTGCTGCTCTACGCCGTGCACTGCCTTATGGCCAGGAGAGGGCACCTCCGGCATCGTTTGTTTCACCTTAAGAAACTCCTGATCCATCTGGCGCTGATCTGTTTTCTGCAAGCCCAACTTTCGGCCTTCTTTATCGGTCCTCAGCAGGATAATCATATAACCAATATGCAACAGCTTGAGAAGTCAGGCCTGCACATTATGGGCTTCCGAAGGGAGTTTACCGAGTATCCCATAGATATGAGGAGTAGGTACGCATCCTCGTTCCTGCTGCAGGATGTCTTTGCCGACGTAGTGAAGCACAGGAATAAATTCAACCTAACCTACGGCTACACAGTGACCTCTGCCAAGTGGCAATTGTACAGAGAGGCTCAAAGGCACTTTCGGCGACCTCTGTTTCGATACTCCCAGGATATTTGCGTGCAGAAGCTGTCTCTCTTTTCACTGATTCTTAAGAGTAATTGTATGTACCGTTATCAGCTAAAGGCATTTATAATCCGTTTACAAGAGGGAGGATTTGTGCACTACTGGTACCGGCGCTCCTTCTATGTCATGGTCAAGGCCGGTCGTCTTCACTTCGAGGACTTGAGCACCTCCCACCGGGTCCGGCCGATTCGGTGGTCGGAATGGCAGTATGTCCTGGCATTATATGGAGCAGGACTATTGGCGTCATTCGTCGTCGTTGTTATTGAGCTCACCATTCATTATGTAAATGTTTGCCTTCGCAACCTGTGAGCATATGTGTATTAATTAGACAAATTCCCTGTACAAATAGTGTTCAGTGCCTTTCAAACTAGGCTAGGAAAATAAAGTACCAAATAATATATTATGCCGATGAAAACCTTTGAAAATTGTTAGTCTGCTGAAATGTCGCCACCAAGCAGAAGTCTACATACCAACCTGGCAGCGGTAATAAGTAACGCTCATGATTTAACCAGCATTTTCTTTTACTCACCATCAGTGGAAAAATGTCGTCTAGAGGAGACTCTCTCAGCGGCTAGTTTAGAGCTGCCTTTGGTGATATGGCGCTCGAAAGGGACTATTATGTTAAATAAAATCCTTGACGAAGGATTATTGGTGCTTGCCTGCTTCCCAGGACTACAGTGGAGGGATGCTTTGAGTAACCTCTCCCTGAGCTTGCGATATCTTAGGCAGGCAAGAGTATTAATTGAACTAGATGTTGGAACAAGGGACCTTTTGGCTCATCATATACTTGAATTTTGCCAAAGCCTGGATATGATTAATACCATAGTCATTTTTGATGATTTTATGGAGACCCATACACTATTCCGCTTTGAGTCATTTCCAGAGTTCGAAATGCTAACCATCTCCTATACGAATGACACTCAAGCTTCAAGTCTTTACCCAGATAAGATGTTGGACCTCCGTGGCTTCAAGATCCGCACTATGCCAGACTACTCCGAGCCGAATACCATCTTGTACAAGGATAAAGAGGGGAAAAAACAGATCCTAGGATATTTGTGGGACATATTGGAGGCATATGCCCGAAAATATAATGCTCAACTGCAAGTCGTCAATAAGGGTGTCCATGAAAGGACGCTTAACTTAAAGGAGGCTTTCGACTTTGCTCGAAGAGGTATGATAGACATCGGTGCCAGCATCCAACCAATGGCGATGGTTCAAAAGGACCGCTATCGCGAGCTTTCCTATCCGGTGGACTTGTCCAGCTGGTGCACCATGCTGCCCATGGAAAGGGATCTCGAGGTTTCCGAATTGCTTGCGAGGGTATTACCTCTACCATCACTTTTCCTACTGACGGTTCTGTGGATTTGCTACGAGGTCCTCCGAGGACGCTGGCGCCATCACAAGCGACTTCAGACTATTGGGTGGCTTCTAATGATCACCGTGCTTAGCTCAAATTACTTGGGAAAACTACTCAGCCTCTTGGCAGAACCCCCAGCTAAAACTCCTATAGAAAACCTGGCAGCTATGATTGATTCCTCGATTCGCATATACTCTGTAAGAGCCGAATACAATTATCTGGATTTTACCAAGCGAACAAAATACTCTGCTGCATTCCGACTCACGACCACTACAAAGGATTTGATAGAAATGCGCAACTCGCTGAACACGTCCTTTGCATATTCTGTAACACGCGCCAAGTGGAAGCTATACGAAGAGCAGCAGAAACGCAGTTCGAGGCCACTTTTCCGGTACTCAACTTCACCGGATCTCTGTTTCTATGAAATGTTTCCCTTCGGTCTGATCATTCCGGAAAACTCTGTCCACCGAGCTCCCCTGCATCACACCACCCTGCAGTTGTGGCAATCTGGACTATATAATCTGTGGCTATCACGGAGCTTCTTTTATATGCTAAAGGCGGGAAAGATAAGCTCCGCCAACTTGAGGGGGCTTTATCAGGCCAAAACCTTAGGTTTTAAGGATTTGCGGAAAATATTTGTGATGTATGGTGCAGGAATGCTGGGTAGCCTGGCTTTATTTATCAGTGAAGTGATTGTCTGCTGTGTAAAGCACTGGCTCGGATTTTATTAGCTTTTTGTGTTTTCAAATAAAAATATACAAAAAAGGAAATATTATTGGATAAAAAAAGGATTTTAAGTCTTTATGATTATCATTTCGCTTTAAATTTGTCAAAGCAACTATAATGAATGTTTCACTTCAAGCGGTTGATGAGAAATGGGTTCTTAGCAGTAAGGGTAACATATAAATACTAGATTTTCTCGTTAAAAGGATATCTCACTATTCCCGACCAACTCGCTGACTAAAATGTTGGTTTAGGGTGGGTCATCAACAAGTTCTTTGTATGATGTCATCGTCACAACTCATGAGCCGAACAAACCTGTCACAGAAGTAAATAAAAACAATTACCAAATCCATTTCCGAAAACTTTGGGGAATGTTTTTGTTTAATTAATAAAGTTAAGTGCGTGGAAAGCTAATATAACGCCAAATATATTATGGTGTAATCCATATACTTCGGTTCGACATTGTCAGTCCGTCAACATGACTGAACTCAGCCTTCACACTGATCTGGTGTCGCGGATAAGTCACGGTCGGGAGCTAAACAGTATTTTCTTCTATTCACCTCTGGGAGAAAAATGCCACCTGGAAGGCACGCTGTCAGTTGCAACCTCAGGACTTCCACTGGTGATATGGAAATCGGAGAAGACTGTGATCCTAAATGGATTCCTTGGTGAGGGAACCTTAGTGGTGGCCTGTCTGCCAGGACTTCGATGGCGGAATCTACTCAACAGTCTGTCTAGGAATCTGAATTATCTTAGGCAGGTCAAAATACTAATTGAACTGAAAGGAAACAAAGATGATATACTTGTTCGTCAGGTGCTTGAATTTTGTCAGAGCCAAGACATGATCAATGTCAATGTTATTTTTGATGATTTTGTCATAACTAAATACGTGTACTCCTTCGATTCATTCCCAATGTTCAAAATTGTGAGAAATTCATTCGGGTCGGACTCTCAAGTATCTAGTCTTTATCCCGACAAGATGTCTGATCTCCGTGGTGGTAAAATTCGCACCATGCCGGACTACTCCGAACCAAATACAATTCTCTACGAGGACAAACAGGGCAACAAACAGATCATGGGCTACTTATGGGACATAATGGAGGCTTATGCTCACAAACACAATGCTCGGTTGCATGTGGTAAATAAGTATGCGGATGGAAGGACTTTAAACTTTATAGAGCTCTTGGACGTGGGTCGAAGCGGAATAATCGATGTGGCCGCCAGCATTCAACCAATGTCAATGGGCGCACAGGATCGCTACCATGAGATGTCATATCCAGTTGACGTGACCAGCTGGTGCACCATGTTGCCAGTGGAGCGGGATCTCGATGTGTCCGAGTTGCTCTCCAGGATGATGCCGTACAGCACCTTCATTTTTCTAGCATTGATTTGGATTTGCTATGAAGTGCTGCGTGGACGTTGGAGACGGCATCAGAGGATGCAAAAGATTGGCTGGCTAGTTCTGGCCACGATGCTCAGCTCCAACTACTTGGCAAGGCTTTTGACCTATCTCGCTAATCCTACCTCCGAACCTCAGATCGATAGTTTGGCTGCTCTGATTGAAACCCCGGTGCGGATTTTCTCCCTTCGCTCTGAGTACTCCGCCATCGAGTTCACCAAGCGTACAAAGTACTCTGCAGCATTTCGATTAACCTACAAAGCATCTGATTTGATAGCGAGGCGAAATTCGTTGAACACGTCATTTGGATATACGATCACCAATACCAAATGGAAACTGTTTGAGGAGCAGCAGAAGCACAGCTCGAGACCACTTTTTAGGTACTCTAGGTCACAGGACCTGTGCTTCTACGAGGTGGTACCATTTGGCTTTGTCATCCAGGAAAACTCTCCTCATCGCGCCACCATACACCACTTTTCCCTGCAGTTGCGGGAATCCGGACTGTTCGATCTGTGGGTATCTCGGGGCTTTTCCTATATGGTAAGGGCGGGAAAAATGCACTTTGCAGACCTGAGGGAGCCTTACCGGGCCAACACCTTAAATATCACGGATTTAAGAAATGTATTTGCTGTATTGGGTATTGGGGTTGGGGTCAGCGTAACTCTTTTCGCCTGTGAGCTAATTGTCAACTGGATAAAATTGTGGCTGGATATACTATAGCCTTCACTCCCAAATAAATCTATTAATAAACTGTACAAAAGCCACCGTGAAGGATCTGAGAAATGCATTTGTTATTTACGGAGTTGGTGTGTTAATTAGCTTGCAGTTGTTTACTGTCTGTCAGGTGAGTGACGTTCTGGCCGCGACTTAATTGTCCTTGCGGCAATTACGGCGATGGTGTTCGATAAAACTACCCCGTTCCGGTAAACTTCTCCAACAAATGGAGACAAGCCGGGACAAAACAAATAGAAACTTTGGGTTTTAGTTCGTGACGAGGGTTCCAGTGTTCCCGATTTGGAATGGGAGACAGAAGTTAACAATGCTGTTGAATGGGCTCCTACCGTCTTACACCTTCCAGTTTGGTTATTTGCCCTGCGAGAGCAAATAAAATAAATGCAAATTGCCTCCTACGAAGTCACCGCAAAGGCACGACGGGTACCTCGAAAATGAGACCCCAATCGAGGGGAGATGAACCGCCGAACCACTCAACCGACAACCGCAGCAGATCCGGCAAATTATTTAAGAGACTTGGCAGCAAACACCAGCACATTGTGGCCTAGTGCCTAAGTTGGGGAATTACGGGGGAATTCTGTGTTAGACATCTGCATATTGCCCCTCTGTTGGTAGGACAACGCAAAATCTGTCCAAGTCTAAGTCTGAGTCTGAGTCTGGGACTTAGTTTGAGTCTGAGTGTGAGTTGCTGGCCCGTTTTGATTAACATAAGCGAATAATAGACTTCGACTGCCAGCAACGTGAACAAATTTGATTCACGATTTTGCACTATTTACCCAAAGAAGCCAACCAACACCTGCAACTGCAATATGGGCAACCTTTTTTTGACAGCTGAAGATGCATTTTCGTTTTGCTACGGCTGCTGTCAATGATGTGTTGCAACATTACACATCTCAATTTCAAATGACGTCTAGTTAGGCATTCAGCCTCATATGAATCGGCTGATTGGGAAAACCATTGGCTAAATGAATTGGCCCAGTTAGATTATTATTACAATCGGGATTTCCTGCACCAGCTGTCGCAAATGGATGTCTAGATTGTGGTCTTGGTTTGCGACGAGAGCAATTTATGACACACAAGAAGCGCCACGATTTGGTTGACAAATTTCCCCAAACACGAAGCTCAGAGAATGAATTATGTGGCCGTGATCGACTGGAAAACAAAGCCAGAACGGGTTAAGACCCTCACGATATGTGAGACAATTTCCCGGGACAATTCGTGCCCGGGGGAGAGCCGCCAGCAGTTGACCCAAGAGTTGGCAATCCAAGTCGCAGAATGCCGCCTATAATATGCTGCAAATTATTAAACGATCTGTCCCACCGAAGGTCAGCCAAGTAGAAAACACGCATGCGCAGCCGCAAAACTTTCTCCGCAAGACGGATGCGAGGGTGTTGTCAGCTGCCATGAAGGATCAGGCTTAAGTCAGACTCGACCATAAAACCCGATGGCTGGCCAAAGAAATGCCGCCTTAACTTTGAATGGCAGCCGAAACAAGTCGGGAGTCCAGCTCGTCAGCACCGAGCTGTAAAGACCCTTTCTATGGGGGAAAAAATTCAAAATAAATTATATTCTTTTGCCCTACATAACTAAATGAACTAAATGTTTAGAATATACACCCATAAATGTTGTCAAAATAGATAATTTTACCGCCTTAATAATATTTCAACATTGATTGCCAAAAGCAAACTTCCCTTTGGCAGGGCAAACATATAAAGTCAAAAATATTTCGGCTTAAAAAATTCTACAGCTGCAGCTGGCCCTCTGGGTTTGGCCTGTCGTATTTTCTCTCTGTTTCTCTGGTTTTGTTTCGCTGCATTTTGTTTTGTTTTTGCCTGCGTTGCGGTTGCCTTGCCCACAAGTTAAAAGGTCAGGAATTTATGGATTTTACATGGCTGCAGAGACATTTCCAGATACGAGCAGTCGTAACTTTGGCAAACTGCGACTTGCCTTGAACCCTTTGCCGGTCCCTTGGGAGCTCTCATATGCGTCGCCCTGATAATCGCTTAGTAAACTTTTGATTTTCGCCTCGCAATTGTTCCGTTTAATGACGAGCGATAAGCCCTGATAACCCCTTTGATTTGTAAAGTAAACACTGGTGGCCGGAGAAGTGCTTGCAGTCCCGACTAGAAACCCCATCAGTCCTTCAGCCATGTTGGCCAACTCCAGTCTTGCTCCTGCTCCCGAGCTATTCAATCTGTACGGCCTGCTCCTAACGTTTTTGGTGCCCCCGGAGACAACAGTGTTTTATTTCAATCCCTCGAGTCCCAGCTGCCATTGGGAGCTGCTTCAGATGGAGAGCCTATTTGACCATCCGCAAATAGTCTGGCGGCAGGCGGAGATCTATACGAATCTGTACAGCCAGCATAACAGTCACATATTTGTGTTGGCCTGTCTGTCGAGAACCCTCTACGAATGACAGCTGAAGATTCTGGCCACCACTTTCACCCGGCTGAGGTCGGTAAGGGTCCTCATCGAGATGGAGGGCAAGGAAAGCTCCTCTTTGGCCTCACAAATCCTGTCACTCTGCCTGCAGCACAGCATGCTGAATGTAGGACTCTACTTTCGCTCTCGCAGTGTATTCAGCTACCGGGCTTTTCCGTACTTTAAGATCATCAAACAACACATTTTCGAAGAAACCCATCCTCGTATCTTCACCAACCAAATTGCGGACCTCCGGGGTTACCAATTACGTGTTCAACCGGACTTGTCGCCACCGAACTCCTTTTTCTATCCCGACTCGCGGGGCAAGAATCGATTGTCCGGCTTTATGTGGCAGTTTATATCAACCTTTGCTGAAAACTTGAATGCCGGCATCGAGATCCTGTATCCCACATGGAAAAAAGCGAAGGTGTCGTCCAACGAATATATGATTGAGTTCACACGGAATGGCAGCTCGGACTTTGGTCTGACCCTCGTCATGATTATGTTCAAGCACGAGGAGAGGTTTCGCGACTTCAGCTACCCTTTTATCCACTCAAATTGGTGCACAATGTTGCCTATGGAGAAGCCCCTGAGTACTCAAACCCTCTACGCGCATGTTCTGACCTGCGGAACGATTATTCTTCTGGCGGTGATGTATCTTGTGTGTTTCCTGGTTATTCCTTCTCTAATCAAATTCCTGGAACCTATTATCTGCGGCAGATTGATACGCCTCTCCTGGAGGCTATTCGTCCTGGTGATGATCTGCGGCTGCTCTGCCCAATTGCTCTCCCTACTGATATCTCCGCCCATCCGACACCACATCAATAACTTTGACGATCTCCTGGCCTCCGGCTTGAAGATCTTTGGGCTGCGTAGCGAGTTCTACTACATGGAAGGTGGTTTTCGGGCCAAGTACGCAGCGGCTTTTCGCCTGACGGACAATATCAACGACCTGTACGATCACCGGAACTACTTCAACACCAGCTGGGCCTACACCATCACTTCAGTCAAATGGATGGTGATCGAGGCTCAGCAGCGGCACTTTGCCCATCCCTTGTTCCGGTTTACGGAGGACTTGTGCTACAGTTGGTGCTCTCCCAGTAGCCTGCTGATCGCCCAGGAGTCCGTTTACCGGGAGCGCCTCCACCACTACATCCTGATGGTGGACCAGTCAGGGCTTATCGAGCACTGGATGACCCAGAGCTTTTACGACATGGTGAAGGCCGGTCGTATGACCATCCAGGACTATAGTGTGCCGAGGACCGTGCAACCGATCAGGCTGCAGGACCTGCGATTGTGCTGGCAACTCATTGTGTCACTGCTGCTCATCGCTTTTGGCGCATTCGCCTTGGAGCTGCTGTTGTTCTACACCAACGTATTTCTCAATAGCTTGTAGTGCTTACCTTTGGCTGTCATTTTCCCCAGCAAATAAAGTAAATGCAAATTGCTCACCAGGAAGACACCGCAGAGACACGACCGGAGCCACGAAATAAGACCCCAAATGCGATGCAAGAAACAAGCCAGAAACCGCAGCGGATTCACCAAATTATGTAAAATTCAGCGCCGAAGAAGTAACACCAACGAATTGCGGGGGAAGGTGTTGTTGTCTGCCTTTTGGTAGGACAACGCAGAATCGGTCTAAGTCTGAGTTGGAGTCGAAGTCGAAGTCTGGGACTGAGTCTGAGCTGCTGGCCCGCTTTGATTAACATAAAGCGAATAATAGACATCGACTGGCAGCAGCGTGAACAAATTTGATTTCACGATTTTGCACTATTTACCCAAAAGAAGCCAACCAACACCTGCAACTTTGGCACCAACAAGCTGCACTTTGTATTTTTGACAGCCATAGATGTCTTTTCGCTGCTGTCAATGATGTGTTGCAATATTGCACATCTCAATTACAAATACTTTTCAGTCATGAGGTTTGCACAAATTTAAATAAACATGTTAATGCGACCCCATGACTTTTTCAATCAATTTTTGATTTAAGGGACTGTGCAAACTACAAGTAAATGCAGATTTGCTCTCTTTGGAAAATTGTACAAATTATAAGTATTTTGCAAGAAAGTTGTCTCTAAACACATTTTATTCGTCTTCTTTGTTACTCTTTTGATTCATAGATAATTTATATTTGATGTCATTTCGGTTATTTATTTACATTTCATTTAATGGACCTTAAGTCAATAAATTTACAGGCTTGGTTATTTATGGTTTTGCCAGAACCAATTTGGCATAGTTGAAAATCATTTTACCTTTACCTTGGCCCCGTCTCATGAGTCATCAGCAGTGCCACAATCGCGGCAGCAACTGACCACCAGGTGTTCAATTAAGCACCGACGTTGACCTTAATACGCAGGCCACCGAAAACGGATTGAAAAAGTGCCAGAATTTCTGACAAATTGTCGCCGAATGTGCGCAGAAATCAAGTTTATGGTCAATGCACCACCGCTGCAGTGCCGAAGGATGTCAACAAATTCTTGGCTTAGAAAGTTGGTAGCATTAAAATGCCAAGAAAATCGGCAATCGGTGATGGTTCCTTGGCACATTTCGAGGTGTTAAAATATGCATTAAAATTGCTGATGAAGCGGCGTGTTCGCTGGCAGGATTACCAAATATTTGCGGCTGCCAAAAGTCAAAAGAAATCAATCAAAATGCCACAATCAACAACGACCACCGCAAGGCGCCAAAAGGCAACCAAGGCAACATCAAAAGAGTAGAAGTAAGGCGTCAGTCGATTGTAACGACCTTTTAATACCCACTATGAGGTCAGATTTACTATGCTGACTCTTCAGTTAATGATTTATGTGAGCTTAATTAGAATATCTTTCTATGAAAGATATAACTTTATTATATTTTGATTCTCAAAATTAATATCCCATTGAAAGCTGCTGCTGGTAGTTGGTATCAAACCAGTGAAAGACGCCGACAGAAGCGACAGGCTGACGTGTGCCCAAGACGCTTAGTGGCTGCTGCAAACACCAAACTTTTGGCTCAGCAGCCATTGCAACTGCAACTGCAGCATCCAGCATCCAACTTCCACCATCCAGCATCCAGCATCCAGCAAGCATCCCGGGGCAGACGGACGGCCCCATGTCTCTAAGTGGACAACAAAACGCCTCCAACACTTTTGGGGCGCGAAAAATGTGTTTGCCAAGCCGGATCGGAGTTGCAACTGCAGTTTCCAAGCCAAGTGCTTGCTTCAGCCGGGGCAAGAGTGCTTGGCTGAATGCCTAATGCTGCAGGGGCGTGCACTCAGGTACACAGATGTATTCGCAAGTGTACATAAAAATAAAATAAATAAGCCAGCGCTGATCTTCATTTGTTGTTGTCGCACAGTTGACATGAGGACTCAGCATCGGCATCGGCATCGGCATAGGCTTTGGCATGGCGTCGTCATCGTCGCGGTCGTCGTCGTCATCTCCATCTCCATCTTCATGACATATATTTGCATAGTTTTGTCGAGAACAAAATGGCAGCAGGAAAACAAAAAGAAATCCGTTGACAAGTGTCTGTCAGGGACATCGTGCCGCTCAAATTTGCATGTGGTCGCATCTCACGCTTTAGACACGGTCCAAAATAAATTCAGAAGAAAGATGTTTGGGGTAAGAAAGAACTGCACTTGGGACCGACACATCAAGTACCCTTTAAGAATCAACACAATTTCTTAGACTTCAGTTTAAGTTTAAATATTTTAAGAGGGATTGATTCACCAACTACTTATCATATCACATCAAAAATTGTTTTAATTACAATCATTTATAATGCATATAGATCTATATTTTCCATTGGATATACAGCCATGGTAAATCGCTTAATTTTGGTTTTTTGAAATACCTTCTTCAAGGGTATATCGGCAAGCAAAGATCCGACTTGGCGTATATATTTGTGGTAAGGCTGTTGTTGCTGTTTCCTTGTCTATTTTTTCCCCGCGTCTTGTGTTTTGTGTGTCGATCTTCAGCGCACCTTTATGGTCTATTATACTAACGGGAATGCCCCGAGAGCAACGACAATAATAAGCAAATTGATTGAAATATGCGATATCATGGTAACCGCAGCGCAAACGGAAACGCTCCGGCCGCTCAGGCCGCTCTGGCCGCTCCCTCCCCCACTTGCAATTGTGTGGTAGCGCATTAAATGTCGATTTCAGTTTACACCCGCGGCGCAGATACGCAGCCAGCGATACGGGAAGTACGCAGTGGTGCCAGTGGTGCCGGTGGTGCCGGTGGTTCCGAGTGCCGAATGCTGGGATGCTGGGTCACTGCCAATGCCACGCAGAAGGGGTGCGGCCCCGAAAGCCAAATCCAAATCCAGATCCAGCGACGCCGCCCACCCAGCCAGGCCAGTGGGCAATCTCGGACTTGTGGCTTTTCCCTCGGAGAGTGCTGAATGCCGAATTCCGATACCGATTCCGATGTTAATGTGCTTTAAATAAATCATTAGCGCATTGTTTGGGGCAAAACTATACGGCAATAAAGAGAACCGAGGATTTTGGCCACTGAGATAGCAAGTGTTGCAGCCCAGACAGCACTTGTGGGCAGAGCTGCGAAAAAAACATATTTGAACCGAAAATACCTTGAACAAGAAAGGAAGCAAACCTTTGAGGAGCCAAAGTTTAAATACCCTTGTGGTTTAGAATGTTTTCATATGACAAATTGTTTTATATAAGTCGAATTTTTTAAAAATCATAACTAAGCCTAAAAATCGTTCAATTCAATTCGGAAAGCTTTGCTATGCTACTTTTAGATAGGTTAACAATTTTGCATACTAAATTCAAAATGTAAAAAAAAAAATTACATTTTTATTTTAATTTTTGACAATTTCAACAGCTTTAAGAAATTTTCAAATTTTGAAAAAATTACATTTTTGTCTAGATCAAGCTAAATCAATTCGGCTGCTGATTCTAATCAAGAATATATGTATATGATTTATAGCGTCGTAAGTGACTGCTTCACATTTTGTTTTAAGCTTCTGACTAAAATTATAATGCACTGGAAGGGTATAATGATCAAGCAGTTTAACTGATACATGATTTATACATGCTTTACTGCATTGCATACTTTTGACTAAAGTTATAATACACTGAAAGAGTATAAAACTATATAAATGTCTAGCCTAGCAAGGTAATTTTACCACAAAAATTTGATATCATATTCGTTAAGCCTAGATCTCGGTTGGCCGAGAGACACACGCACTCCGTCATGTCAGAGGCCAACAAGCTAAATGCTGCCAAATTGCAGTTGTTACTTGGTGACATGCTCGTAATTAGCATGCGGTAGGCAGTCCTCCGCCCCGAAACTCAGATCCAGTTGAAAACTGGGTGCGGCTACCTCATCTCAAGCGATCTCAGAAAAAACAAGTCGATGTGGTTCTGGCCCCAAATGATAACTCTTTGGCTCGTGTGCGCGTTCGTCTGACGATTTTTATAGACTTTTCATTGATTGCCGTCAGGCAGCAGCAGGAAAAAATAAAAACCAAAGCACAGAATTATTTTGAGTTCGCCGTCTGTGTTTCGATGAAATCGCGTAATTAAAACGTTGTAAAAAGTGGCAAAATGTGCTAACCAGTTTAGGCCGATTTTTGTATTTTTGTGCTCCCTTGCCGAGTGCCACAATTCACAATTTTTTATTTGTATGTCACTGGCCAGCGCTGATGCAATGCCTTTTAATGTCTCCCTCCACACAGTGCTTTTTTTATTCCATTTGCCATATATCTCACTGCCGAGTGCAGCCTTATAGATACTTTCCATTCAGCACATGCAAATGTATGATTTCCTGCCAAGAGCCGAGAAACGCTGGCCACGCCATAAATAGGCAATTTGGCGCTTTGGCCGTTTAACGCCAACGAGCTCGCAACGAATCGAATCGAATCGATTATCGTGCACTTAACACCAACAGCTCTTAACCCGCAACAACAAGCCAGTACCCTTAAAGGTTTTTCTCCAGCAATTTTTGGAAAATCTCCTCGATCGGAGGCACCAGCAACAGCAACAGCAACGGCACCGCTACCAGGCGCAATCAAGGCCAGCTCCAGCTCCAGCTCCAGCTCCAGCTTCCAGCCAGGTGATCATCATTGCCGTGGAGCACCAACTTCGCTCCGTGCTGATTATCAACATGTGCACTGGCTGCTCGGCTCGGCAGCGCCGCATGTGCTTTTGCCCTCGATCCATAGATCAAGATCATAAATAGCAATAAGCCAGCCAGACAATGTCTGCTAACTGTTTCAGGCAATCAATCAATCCATCTGCCGCTGCGGCATCAGCAGCGCAGCATTCGCGGCGAGTGCTGCCCGTTTGGAAAGTTCATTCAGTTGCATCGCTCTTGCCTCCAGAAAGGGTATATTGGCACCTGGAATGGTGCCAGTCCCTGGGAGCGATAACAGGGTAGCAGATAGTCCGGC